AAGAGTCTGATGTTCTCCCTCCTGCCATGTGGGAGAAATCCCACTCCTAATGTCAGACCACAGTGGAAATTGGGAAAAAATGCTAATTTAAGATTCAGCTGGAGAATTAACTCCTGCTTAAGGGACCCAGAGCATCTCAGTGCACAGATCCCTGGGGAATGCAGGCAGTGGGAATGGATTGAGCCCCTCCAGCCCCAAAATTTGTGCTCAGGGATGGGGGGGGCAGGAGGCACCATGCTCAGAGCAGGAATGAGAGGAAATCCTTGACATCCATTCCTCAGCACCTCTGTTTCATCAGCTCACATCCTTGAGGGCTCTGGAATCTTCTCTGAGACTCCTCAGCACTGGGGCTGGGCTGCTCTTGCCAAGGGCTCTCTTCTCTGGAGCTGGGGACCACGAGTCCCTCCCCACAGGTGAGGATGCTGCTCCAGGTTTGGAGGGAGCTGCTGCCCTGCCCTTCCCACCTGAGGAGGAGCCCAGAGCAGCCCTGGAGTCCTGTGAACCTCTGGCCCAGTGATTTGGGATGATGAAGGACGTGAGGAGTGTGGGAGGAGATGCTGCTGACAGGAGGCAGCGGCTCAAGGCCAGTTTGGGGGAACTTTTAATTCCATTTTCCTTGAAGATCCGCGGTGAAAGGGCAGAGCAGCATTTTCCAGCCCTCACTCACGTAAGCAGCTTCCTGCTGTGAGTAACGTGGGGAGCACAGGCAGAGAGAAGGGGCTGTCTCAGGGTTACTCAGAGAGGAAATAAAGCCTCTCTGGTCCTGGGACAGATGCAATTCTAACAGTCCAGCCACAGGCTGCCTTTTGCAATAACTGCTCCCAAACCCAGCGGCTTCGAGTCGGCCCCTGCAGCCTCCTGGGACAAAACACCTGCAGGAACCTCCTGTCCTCCCACAGCAGGGACGTGGTGACACTCTGCTTCTTGTCCTTGAGCCCTCCAGGTGTTGCTGGGGGTGTTCAGGGGCTGTGGGGAGCCTTGGAATTATAAAATATCCTGAGCTGGAAGGGACCCACAAGGATCAGAGCCCAGCTCCTGCACAGACACCCCAACAATCCCACCCTGGGCATCCCTGGGAGCTCTGGCAGCCTCGGGGCTGTGCCCATTCCCTGGGGAGCCTGGGCAGTGCCTGACACCCTCTGGGGGAAGAACCTTTCCCTAAAATCCATCCTGACCCTGCCCTGACACAGCTCCAGCCATTCCCTGGATCCTACCACAAGGAGCAGAGATTGGAGCTGCCCTTCAGGAGGAGCTGCAGCTCCTCAGGAGTCTCCCCTGTGTCCTCTCTTCTCCAGGCTGAACAACCCGAGTGACCTCAGCCTCGCTGAAATGAAACTCAAGCAGATCACCGGGGAGTCGTGCTCCTCACAAATAAAGGGATTTTAACAGGACAAACCCCAAACAAACTCTGTTTAGTCTTTGCCTCCCCCAGCAGAGACCTGCAGAATGGTCCTGGACTTGGAGTTTTTATTAATGATCAAAACTGTGGGGTTTTGCTGCCTCGTTCCTTCTGTCCCTCCCAACCTGGTGAAGCTCCATCAGGAATGGATTTATTGACCTAACAAAGGACCCTTGCTTTGCTCCCAGGGCAGCCTGGTTTCCTCTGAAGCGTAAAAAAACCACACTGACAAGAACAAAACGGGCACATTTCCCCCTCCAGTGAAGTCTGCAAATATTCCAAAGCGTTGTTTGTACATGTGGCCACTTGCAGGGCTGGAATTAAGAGTTTGGGACAAGCAGGGTTGAGTTCCCAACCTTGCTGATCCCAAGAGGGATTTATAACCCCAAGTGTCAGGCTGGACTTTTCATCCCTCAGGTTTGCTTTCAGGAATGTTTCTAAGACATTTTATTGCTTGCTGAATGTTTCTAAGACATTTTAGTGCTGATGGTATTTCAAAATCTGATGGGCTTTCCTTCATTTTTGCTCCTTAGTTTTTTTTCCTCAGGTAAAAAGGTCATAACCTGTGTAGGAGAAGGATAAAGAGTCTGATGTTCTCCCTCTTGCCATGTGGGAGAAGTCCCTCTCCTAATGTCAGACCACAGTGGAAATTGGGAAAAAATGCTAATTTAAGATTCAGCTGGAGAATTAACTCTTGTTTAAGGGACCCAGAGCATCTCAGTGCACAGATCCCTGGGGAATGCAGGCAGTGGGAATGGATTGAGCCCCTCCAGCCCCAAAATTTGTGCTCAGGGATGGGGGGGGGCAGGAGACACCATGCTCAGAGCAGGAATGAGAGGAAATCTCTCTTTATTGCCAGTGCTTGGACTTTATTGCTCTGGATTAAACTGAAGGGCTGCTGGCTTCTCACATCCTGCAGGAGTTTTATGGGAAAGCAGTTTATGGAATTAAGGTGAGCATGTCCCATGTGCAGGTTCTGAAGTTCCCAGCTGTGCCTGTGTGGCAGCTCCCTTTCCTTTGGTGGGAGACAGGCTGGACCATTCCATTCCCACATGGAGAACCAGTTTCTTGCAGAGCTTTTCAGCCACAGCTGTACTGGTTTGGTCAGAAAAATCCCTTCCCAGACACACCCAGGCCAAGCTGGCACGAGGAGCTGATGCCCAAGGGCTGTACCCACCCCCAGCTCCCACTGGAAGCTCTGCAGACCCATACTGGGATGGTCATCCTATGGAAAATCAGCATTTTTTTTAGGCAAAGTCGAGGGTGCAGCTGGAGCCCAAGGCAGGAGGAGGAAAGGCACTTGGTCCTTCCCAGCTGGATCATCCATCCTGAAAAATAGGAAAAACCAAAAGGAAGGCAGAGAGGGAAACCCAAAGATGAAATAAAATACGAAGATGTGAAATAAAATATGGGCCGGGAGGGAAGGAACTAAAGGGTCAACACCAGAGGAAACAGAACAGCGTGACAGGAGAGGAACTGGACTAAATGAAAAGAGGAAACCTCGGCAGCCACAGGCGGCGGCTCCGGGAATGGCTCAGCACTAGGGGACACCATCGGACCAGAAACTGCAGCAGAAAATAACCCAGTTTTTAGCAAAAACCCGGCCCACTCACTTTCGTTTTCTATGCCTCTCTGTCACCGTGCCAGGGTGACACTCGGTCCCCTCTTCCCAGCTCCTGTCACGTTGTACAGCCCCTAAAAACGCCACAATTCCTCACTTGCCCTATCCCAGTAACAATCCCTGTTTCTCTGCCCAAATTTCTCTCCAGGTTCCTGTTCCTGTGCAAACCCTGCCTGGGATTTGCTGCCACTTTTCTGTGCAAAGGCACACGCAGGGACATTGTCACCTGGAGCTGATGGCAAAGTCCCTCCTCACCCCTCCGGGCTGGAGCTTTATGAGCAAACACCCCCCTGCACCTGGTTTGGGGAAATCCAAGGAGAAAACACTCCCAGCAGACTTTTCTGTGTGTTTGTGATGTGAGACCACACAGAACAGACAAAAAAATCCCCCTCACCAAGAGCATCCCTGTCCTCCACGTGTCTTCCAAGCATTTTCTGTCTGTAAATCCCAATTTATCCGGGTTCCAGCTGCTTTTTGTTGTGCTGCTCCACCACTGCAAGATCTACCAAGAGCATCAGAAGTGTTTTGGCTCCAACAGGTCCCCAAACAGCAGCTCCAGGTGGTGGCTGACTCCTGGGAAGTTGGGCTACAGCAAAGTCCAGTTTGGCTGGAGCAAAATAACTCCCCGAACATCTCAGCAGCATCTGTGCTGCTCCAAGTGTTTATTACACCGTTATAAATTATTATTCTTATTAAGCAAATATTACACTCTGGTGCTGTGTGCAAGTATAGTTTTATTGTGGAGAAGAAGCAGCTTAACAGAGACTTCCAAATGAGCTGCAGAAAACAGTAATTAAAATTTCACTTGCGATGTTTTAATTTGATTTTCAGTAAAGTTTTTTAAAGCAGTCTTTCCCATTGCACAAGGAAAGAAAATAAGCTGCCATTTCCTTTGCCATTAACATTGTCTCATTCAAATAAAAAAAAAGCAAAACGTTAAAAAATACCTCTGGTGCAATAAAAATGCTTTGCAATATGTACACACATATATATACACACACTTAGCTTTACTGTACAATATTTTAAACTTTGGGAATGGGCAATCCACGAGGATTTTTATTTACACTTTCACAATGCCTTTAAAGCCTGGAGACACAAGTGGAATACTCAGTGCTGATCCTTGAAAATGAGTTTTAGCCAATTCATCTGTATTTTTTCCCTGAACAATTTTGCAGTTCTGACTTTGAACTCTTGGCTCTGCCCTCCTGGGGGTTTATGGGGTCTCTAACTCTCCTCTGCAGCAGCAGCTTTCAGCCCTCTACTGCTTTATCCTTCAAATTTAAAAAAGGAGTTTCAGATCTCCTTGGAAATTCACATCCATCATTTGTCCTGCAAGTGAATTTGGTTTTTTAAGTATTTTTTGCTGAGCCTGGGCTGTGGTGTAAAGAGAGAAGCCACACTCTTATTATCTGTACAGATAATTTTTCCAGCAGATGCCTGTCCAAGCCAAACTCCTTTTGCTGACTGTTATTCTTCACTATAAAACTGTTTTCTTTATTCAAGATAACATCGAGTAATTTCATAAATACCGTATCCAAACACACTTGCTGTTCATTTATCAACTCCTTCTCCAACTGAGAGGTTTAATCCTAAAAAATTTCTATTTCTGTTGGGATGTGTCGCACATTTTCGGCCGGGCTCTGCTCCAGCAGAGCTGGAGCTACCTTTCTTCAGATCCCCTGGAAAAGTACAGGAATGTTTCCCTCCATCCAAGAGTTTTCCTCTATCCAAGAGTTTGAAGTTTTTCTTTACAGAAGAAATGTTTTTTCAGCATCACATCTCATCCAGATTCAGATTTTGAATCTCCAGCTCTTCCTAAAGATCTTCCCAAGGGCCTCGTGTTGCCCCTTTGCTGCCAGGTGTGGGTGAGGTCAACACTCTGGAACAGGATCAAACATCCTGGAGAGCTTTATTTATATTTATTATTAGTTTAACACCCTTGGCCAATAGTTGAGAAAGGCAAATCTGACTCCAAGCATGCAGAGCTCCACTTTTACCTAAAACTTCCCCAAAAACTGGAGTGATATTCTGAGTCCTGCTGCCATCACTTCAGGACCAGTCCCACTGAAATAAGGCTCCCTCTTATCCTTATTCCTAAGTTATCCTGCACAGTAGGATACTGCAATTTTACAACTGATCTCATGGATTTTTCTAGAAACTGGGAAAACCCTGGCAAATCTGCTGCTCACCAAAGCCTCTCAAGCTGCTCATGGCATGGGAGAGGGGCCCATCCTGATCTGCAGCCCAGGCACAGCCCTGGGAGCCTAAAACACATCTAATGATCATAAAAACCGAAATCCAGAGGCAGCTGGGAGCAGGGCAGGAATTATCCCAGCCTTGCTGTGTAAATAACTTGACTGTTTGAAGATCCAGGGAAACTCTGCCCTTGCTGTTTGTCAGGAGCTCCCCATGCTCTGCAGGCTCTGTTTACATTTCCCACTGGCTCGGGGAATTAACGCTCTTGGAAAGTTGTGAAATGAAGCAAATGCTCAAATATAGCCTTGGAAGGGGTTTGGGAGTTCAGCAGCAGCTCCAGGGTTTGTTGGTGGTGGCTGCTCTGTCCCACGTGGCTCTGGGGGTCTCAGGGGCTGCCCAGCCCCAGCAGTGGCTCTGCCACCAAGTACCACAAACCAGGGACTGTCCACAGTTATTTAAGTGCTACAAAGGCTTGGAAGCCTCCATCCCGTCTTCTGGAAGAGTTTGGAGATCTCCATCCAGCTCTGGGGGAAAAGTTTAATCTCCTTACAAAGGAGCCACAGCTGCCTTTCCATTCTCCCTCTGGCTTTCTCCAAAGGGTTCCTCATCCTTGTCCTTCACAGACACCTTTTTCCTGAAGGCTTGTGACAGGCTGGAGGAGGACACCTTCCTCAGCGTGGTGAGCCTCTGCCTGAAGTTACCCCCGGAGAAGAAGTAGAGGAGGGGGTCGAAGCAGCAGTTGGCAGCTGCCAGGGGCAGGGTGACGATGACGGCTTTCTGCAGGAACATGGCTTCCCCGCAGCCGGGGCCCCGCCGGCGCAGCGCGTGCAGGTGCACGGTGCGCAGGACGTGGTAGGGCGTGAAGCTCACCAGGAAGGTGGCGGTGACGATGACGATCATCCACACGGCCTTGCGCCGGTTGGCCTCGTTCTTCCGCAGGGAGTTGCGCAGCAGCGTGCGGATGATCATGGCGTAGCAGATGGTGATGACGACGAAGGGGAAGATGAAGCCCACGAAGAGGGCGATGAGATCCAGGATCACCACCACGTTCGTCTTGTGGGAGTTCTCCGGCGGCTCGAAGCACTTGGTCTTGTTGCCGTGCTGGTACGTCCCGTTGCGCAGGAAGGGCGCGCTCGTCAGCGTGACGAACACCCAGATGCCGACGCACACAAACTTGGCCTTCCTCTCCGACACCAGGCCGATGTTGCGCACCGGGAAGACGATGGCGATGCAGCGGAAGAAGCTCATGGCCGTCATGAAGAAGATGCTGCAGTAGAGGTTGACGTAGAGCGCGTAGGACGAGAGGCGGCAGAGGAAGTCGCTGAAGAACCAGTGGCCCTTGTGCACGTAGTAGATGACGCGCAGGGGCAGGGTGAGCACGCAGAGGAAGTCGGACAGGGCCAGGTTGAGCATGTAGACCTGGAAGGCCGTTTTCTGGCGGTACGTGCGGATCAGCACGTAGAGCACCACGCCGTTCCCCACAAAGCCCGTGATGCTGATCATGGAGTAGAGCGTGGAGTAGACGCTGTTGCGGAAGTCGTCAATGGAGTGGTGGTGGCACGAGAGGTTGGGGGACAGCGCTGTCATGGTGCCCAGATCCCTGGGGATGGTGTCAGGCCTGGGGGGAAACACAGGTGAGGTAAAGCAGCACGGGAAAAATAAATATCCGTGATGAAATAAGAGGGAAAACCTGTCATCTGTGTCAGGTGTGGATCTGACCCATCCCCACTGCATCCACCTTTCTCCACCCGGTACCGACAGCTGGTTATGAGTGACAACATGTGGCAGAGTCATGGAATCACATCACAGGACCATGGAATCCTTAAAGCTGGAAAAGACCCTTGAGACCATCGAGTCCAACCATCAAGCACCACCACCACGATCACCACTAATCCATGTCCTCAAGTGCCACATCCCTACGTTTTGGAACACATGATGGCTCCAGCACCTCCCTGGGCAGCCTGTTCAGGGTTTGACAAGCCTTTTGGTGAAAGAATTTTTCCTAATATCCAATCTAAACCTCCCCTGGTGCAACTTGAGGCCAAGTCATCAGGACATTAAATTACCAAAAAAAAAAACTCTTAACTCCTCACAAACTGAGGCAGCTACTCAGTAAAAGAGCAGAGAGGGATAACAAAGGTGACAATGGCACTATGGAATTTAAAATAGGAGGAGCAGTCCTGGACCCTAATAATTGTTCAGTCCTAATTCTCCTTTTTTTTTTTTTTTAATTGATTTTCAGTTTTTAAGAGTTCAAATGCAGAACCTGCCTTGCAGCCTGAGACCATGAAAAGCTATGAGATCAGAACTGAGGACAAGAGCCAGCTGAAATAACAGAACACCACAACAACAACAAAAGCAGAAGCTGGGTCAAGATCAGCCATGAGAAACAACTGTACCATGAATATGCTCAAAATTGCTATTAGATGTATTTTTACCCATAAAAGAAACTTGGCAGTATTAGGTTCTCTGTCTGTCCCCAGGACTTACTGAAGTCAGAGTTCAGAATCGCTCTGGGATGCTCAAACCTTCCAAGTGTCAGCTAAATTTCAGCTGTTTTGGTGTTTTCACACTTTTATGAGTCTTTGGATTATCTGCAATACACAAACGAGCTAAAGCTGAGCACGTGTCAGTGAGGGGACTGTCACCACCCGAGGGTAGAGGGGCGATGTTCATTAGAAATCCTGAACAAAGCCACCAGTCCACGTGTCAGGGATCTTTTATGCTTTTATTACATTATGGCCTTAATTCCAGCAAACCAGCCCACAATTTAAACAACCTCTCGAGGTATTTGTCCAAAAGACAAGCAAGACTTGTTTTCTCTTGTGTTTCCAAACATAATTTGAGTTTTGCAATTGAAAGGAAACTGATGGTTACATTCCAACTGCTTAAGCGTGAGAGAACATTACACCCAGAAATGCACCTATAAAAACAACAAGAATCTCACAAAACAGCATTTCTCAGCTGAGGCTTTACGTTTGCATTATGAATTGAAGAAAAGCGTCTCTTCTTTTATTCTGTGGAAAGGCAATTTTTATTTGTACAGTCACGGTTCACTGAACCATTTTTTTGTGTGCTGGTGGATTCACTCACTGGGAATGTGCACAAGTGAAAGGGAACAGCAGTGGATGAAAAAAGGTTCACAAAGGGAGCAAAACGCTAAACTACTGCTGTTCTCCCAGTGTGATGTAGCACAGATAAATTAATAGTTTGCCATAGAATCACAGATTAGTTTGTGTTGGAAAGGGCATTAAAGCTCATCCCATTCCACCCCTGCCGTGGGCAAGGACACCTTCCACTATCCCAGGTCCCTTGGACACTTCCAGGGATGGGGCAGCCGCAGCTTCTCTGGGCACCCTGCGCCAGATTCTCACAGGAAATCACTTCTTTCCAACATCCCACCTATCCCTGGCAGTGGAAGCCATTCCCTGTGTCCTGTCCCTCCATCCCTTGTCCTAAGTCCCTCTCCAGCTCTCCTGGAGCCCCTTTAGGCACTGGAAACAGCTCTAAGATTTTCCTGGATCCTTCTCTTCTCCAGGTGAGCACCCCCAGCTCTCCCAGCCTGGCTCCATGGCAGAGGGGCTCCAGCTCTCGGAGCATCTCCGGCCACCAGTAGCTTACACTCCATTTAATTACACAGCCCAAAAGCACAAAGTCGCTGCTGTGGCTCGTTCCAAGCCCGAGCACGAAGCATCCCCATCCCGAGAAAAGCTCCGGGCTCCTCATTCCCTGTCTGGGGAGAGACAGGAATGCCCCAAAACACCCAAAATTCCCTCACAAGCCTCAGATTCCCTCTGCAAGCGGGGACAGGGGACAGGAACGGAGCGATGGTCGCGGCGAGCGGCCGCTAATTAACAGCGCAGCTCATTAACGGAGCGGCTGCGCTCCGGGAGGGATTCAGCGGCTCAGACCGGGACACGGCACAGCCCTTAAACCCGGGATCACCCCCAGCCCCGATGCAGCCCCGATGCAGCCCCGATGCAGCCCCAATGCAGCCCTTACCGGAGCTCTGCGGGGTCGGAGCGGGCGCGGATCTGTCCCAGGCGCGCCCCCGCCTCTCTTAAAACCGGGCGCGCCCCCGAGCCCGCCCCCAGCCCCGCCCTGGCCCCACCGGGACCCCGAATTCTTCAGCTTTTCCAAGGTTTTCCCACCTTCCTAGGAAATAGCACTTGGAAGCATCCCAGCCGTGCCCACGCCCCTCGGTCTGGTGGGAACTCACGGGGTCTCCTCCTTGGTTTTTTCTTTTTTTTCTTTACTCCTGCTTGTAACTGGCAGGGAGCTCATCTCTGATACCAGAGTTAACAACCCTGTTTAAAAATAGTTTTTAGGAGATTTTTTTTGTGTTGGTCTCCTAGGAGGGACAACAGAATTCTCATGAATTTAGCACTCCTTTCTTCCAGCATCCCAAAATATGCTGTATTTGTCTATCTTTTTTAAAACAACTGTGGTTTTGCTAAGAAAGAAAACAACTGAAAAAGCCCAGATCAAAAATAAAAACCACCCCCCAAACAAAACCAAACAAACTCCAAGCCTATATCAAATAAAGTATTACTTTTCTCAAATTTGAATATATTAAGCATGGGCTGTTCCATTCTGAATTTTCAATTTATTATATTGGCTTTTTTTTTTTTTTTTTTTTTTTTTTTTTTTTTTTTTTTTTGAGGCTGTATGATATGCCATTCCCACCTTTTGCTAAGGAGTTAAGGAATTCTTCTATTCTTCCATCCCCAGATTTGACTGGAATGTGGATGATCTCAGGGGCTGGGTAGTGGGGAAGCTTTTGGCTTTTCTGGGGCAGTGGGGAATCGTTTGGGGGAACAAACCTTTATCCGTGGTGGGAACAGCTCCAAGTGGCACTGGAGCATCTGGAAGTGTCCAAGGCTGGGTTGGAGCAACCTGGTCCAGTGGAAGGTGTCCCTGTCCATGGCAGGGGTGGGACTGGATGGACTTTAAGGTCCTTTCCAACCCAAATCATTTCCTGATTAAAGCCAGCCCTGCTGAACTCACCACGTGGGTCACTGTCCCCATGGACACGTCCCTGTCCTCATGGGCATCCCTGGTTCCCACCTGGTGCTGCCATCCCCAGGCTCAGCCTGTCCAGCTCTGCTCCAAGTGCTGGCAGCAGTGACCCCACATTTCCCTGCTGTGACCCCACACCAGCACAGCTCTCCCACGGTGCTGCCCTTGTGTGAGAGAGAATTCCCAGCCATTTCTCCCGCCCCAGCCCCATTTTTATGGCTCCTTTTGGAGTTTCCAAAGTCAGGGTGCTGTGGACATGGCAGTTTCTCTTTGACCATGAACAGTGAAGGTGTGTGAGAAGGAAATTCATATTTTCCCTCTGCCCTTCCCGAGAGCTTCCTCACCTGCCCATGCCCAGGAAATGTGTCCAGCTCCCAAGAGCTGCTCAGCAGCATATTGGGAACAGTGAAATCACAGGATCATGGGATAATTCAGGCTGGAGGGGACATCAGGAGATCTCCAGTGCAGCTCCTGCTCCATCCAGGCCAGGCCAGGCTGCTCAGGGCTTTGTCCCACCTGATTTTGAAGACTTTCAGGACTTTCAGCACAATTCCTTGCGCTGCCTTCAATCTCCTGTACTGGGACCTGCCTCTGGAGTTTGTTTTAATTGTGGTGCACATCTGCTGTTACTCCACTCAGCCATTCTTCTGCTTTTTTTGCTCCTTTTCCTGGCTATTCCTTCTGCTTTTTTCTACTTAGTTGTTCCTTCTCCTTTTCTTTTTATGTTCTTTATATATTTTTTTCTGTTCCTTTTTATTTTCTGCCTTTCACTCTCAAGAACAGGAAGATTTCTAGTTGCAAAGTCAGACTGAGGTTGTTGTGGGATCGAGGCGGCTGCTGCTGCTCCAGATGTGCTGGAATTGCAGCCAGAGTTTTGGTGGGCAGGGTTTCCATGGTGGATCCAGGAGGAGCTCAGACTGCAGCTCTGACACCACGGGGCAAAGATCACGCGTGGAATTTAGGGTGGGCAGGACTGCAGTATCTCCCTGATACAGCAACATGTGAGGAGATCCAGAGGAGAACAAGGGGAGGGGAGGACTCCTAAAAGGAATCTTGGATGAGTTCCCAGAGGAATGAGGATGAAGAAGACCCCAACAAAGCGATCTCCATCAGGTCTGATAAGAGCAATTTGATGCTGGGGCTGTAACTCCTCTGATTCCCTTTCCAGAGGACAATGGGAAAAGGAATAAAGGCACAAATGAGGCTTTGGAAATCTGTCTGGGACCATCCAAACCTGGGAAAAACCTGACCATGCTCTAGGGTTGTCACTCAGCACTGATTTCCCTCCATTGCCTTTTCCTCCAAATTTCTGCAAGTCCAGCCAAAACATTCCAAGAAGTTACAAATGACACCGGATTCCAACAGCTTGAGCCCTTCCTCGAGTATCCTGAATGCCACTGATCCAGCACACTGCTTATCTCTTTACTGCAGGACTTCCAGACAACTTCCTAAAAGCCTAAATACTTTCCAGAGTGAATGAAAAATCCCTCCAGCATTGGCAACTTCCTCCACTCTGGCTGTTCAAGAAAGGGAGAGCAGAAAGGTGGGGTTTGGTGAGGAAACAAACATTTTAACAATGTTGCATTCTCTTTCCTCTCCTGGGACCTCGCAAAATAAGTCCTTTCTCTTGGAATCTCGTGGGGTAACGATGGCGTCCCAGCTTCAGACTTGCCCCAAGATATCTGGAGTGGGCTGGGCTGTGTGACACTGGCAGGGAACTCTCAGGGGCAATGTCAGCTGCAGGATTTCTCCAGAAAAGCAGGACTGTGCTGATGCCTGGAATTGGGCATGGAGACGTGGGAATGCCCTGCCCTGATTAGCTGGACTCAGCCAGTCAGGAATATCCCTCCAGAAAGTGAAATAAAGCACAAGAGGAAAGAAAAGAAAAAAAAAAGAGAGAGAGAGAAAGAGGATGGAGAGATCATGGTGGGGGTTAATGAGGGCTGTGCACTGGAGCAGTGACCCTGGATGTGGCCGGGAAGAGCTTCCACTGCACAGGGGTGGGAAATCAAAGGGAAAGGAGAGGTTTGGAGGTGTCCCCTCAACCCTTCTTTCCAAGCACCTGACAGGGGAACCAGATGGTGGGACCATTTAATCAGGCAATTGCTTGCCTGGATCCTTTCTAATCTGGTGTAGACCTGGGAATGCTCGGCCTGCCCTGATTAGCTGGACTCAACCAGCCAGGAATGTCCCTCCTGGAAGTGAAGTAAAGAACAGGAGGAAAGCAGAAGGGGAAAAAAAGAGAGGGAAGGATGACAGAGAGCTCTTGGTGGGGGTTAATGAGGGGAGTGCACTGGAGCAGTGCCCCTGGATGTGGCCGGGAAGAGCTTCCACTGCACAGGGGTGGGAAACCAGAGGGAAAGAGGAGGTTTGGAGGTGTCCCCCCAGTGTGAGAGGAGATGAAAAGCCTTTCAATGCAATAAATTCTGTGCCCTGAAGGCTGACAGCCCAGAGTCACTCTGGAACAGGTGGCTGTGCTCCGGGAAGTGCTGGGTCAGGGCCATCCCCCAGAGCAGGGTCAGCCCTGGGCTGGCTGGGTCAGCGTTTGGGTGACACAAAACCACACAGCAGCTGCTGTGGGATGGCTTCACCTCCCTCCTCCTCCTTTGCTTCCTCTTATTTGGAGAAGTCATTTCTGCTGCTTGTCGAGGATGTGGAATCCCTTTGCTGTATCAGCTTCTGCACGGCTGCTTCCCCCCAGTGGGGGCTGCTTCTCCAGGGGATCATCCTTTATTTTCGCCTCAATTTGGTCTGTTTTTTCCCTGGACTAAGCATAGGGAATTCACAGAATATTCTGAGCTGTAAGGGACCTGCAAGGAACATCGAGTCCAGCTTTTAAGGGAATGGCTTGTCCAGAGATCAAACCCACCATCCCCAGCTCCAACAGAGAGAATCTGAGTTGTTGTCACACTTCCAACACTGCCCCCGTCTCCCCTTGGTTTTTAGGGATTGATATTGATGAGTGACCCATGCTGGCAGCTGCAAGAAGCTGCTCCATCCCAAGCCATGAGGCCAACAAAGCTCCCCATTCCCTGGTTTTTGTGGGAAACCAGAGCTGGGGAACCTCCTGTGAAGGAAACTTCGGCCCTTGTCACTCAGCCCATCAAATCCTACTGCAAATAAAACTTTTTGAGTGGCTGCTGAGGAAATAGGACTGAGGGAAGATGGGGAGACAGTTGGA